AGTTTAAATAAATCTTTTATAGGCAAAATATTTGATTTATCAGAAAAAACGAAAAATCTTCAGAAGTAACTGTTCGCTGAATCGAAAACATTTATAGAATTTTGTTTTACTTTCTCATCTCGTGATCGTGTAATATGAAAGTTACTTAATCTTCTCACTTAAATATAAAGCAAAGTCGCTAAAACCGTTGTGATTGCTAACCGTGAAAACTACTCAACCGATTTTGCTGAAATTTTGCACTCTGATTCATGACACTTTCTAAATGGTTTTAGTATAGTTTTTGTCTGAAAAATTTGATAACAATAGCAATAAATAATCTCAAAGTTTTTCAAAAATACGCTGGCTTTTCACTTTAGTTCAGTAGGATCAGCTAGGTGGCGTTGACATAAAATCGAGGCTACCTGCAACATAATTAAATCAGTGTGGTTTTAATACGCCGGAGCCTCTTGAAGAAAGATGCAGTCGTCCTCCGGCAGTTCATCAAGCTGCATAGAGAATGTACATAATAGTCGTGCAGCTGGATATCCCGGTTACGGAGGACACTTTTCTAAAGAGTGAGGGTCCTAGGTCTACATTTGCCCTGAATCTTGACGAATGCCGTCAATAAAAAATTATTCTAACCGATGGCAGTTTCTGGCGTAATACCAGAAGACATATCTAGCCAGAGCACAACCTGCTCCACCTCTTCAGAGTTGTGTGGCAGTCCCATCAACCCACCTGGTGCAGTTAGAGAATTTTTGGCCACAAATGTAAGCCAGGGAAAACAGCTCTAAGGGGCACAAGCAGCCACAACGGCTACGTTCTTAGTGGTCGTGTCCCTAACGCGCATACCCACATGTTCCCGTCTAACGATGAGCGGTTGGTTATCCAGGAAATGACCTGAAGACGAGATATTCTTTGGTCAGCGGCGTACCTCCCTCCATCACAGTCTCCGTACATAGACTTCCAGGGTATGAGTCAAGCTACCCGTAGCCAGCTCTTTATCGTCAGGAATAATAATAAGGAATAGCTGGAAGTTTTACTACTGGCGCTTTTTAGGGCCATTATAAGTATTTACGTTCCCTACTTAACCATCAATCTCATCGGTTCTTTCAAGGGCCACTTAAGTGTAAGCTACCTTGCCAACAAATACATTTTTACTACCATTTCCGGAAGCGATTCGTCGACTAAAAGACTATATTAACTAAAGACAGCCACTATCAAACCAAGTCAGCCATTCACTGGCAGTCGTCACCTGCGGAGTTGGTCTTCGCAAGGCTGAAAACCCGGTGATTGACGACTCTATACTACCATCTCGACTCTAAGCATTCAACCAGGAATTACCAATCCTCTCCAAGGTCTACGCTGGGAGAACCTAACAGTTATAAAGGAAAATAAAACTTGCGCCAACGGGACAGCCTCCACTGGACAAGTATCACTAACCAATTTCCCCATCTAAGATCACCAAAACAACTGAATCTGCAAATTAAAAAAGTGCTTTAGAAACTAACGTCTTCGACGTTACCAGGAGACGTCGGGAAAGATCTTTACAACTAGCTCCAAAGCTTCAGACTTTGTAATTTTTCTCCCGATTTGTCTAGGGCTTCAACAGCAGACCAGAGAATATCATTCTGAGGTATCAGGCAGTCACAATTGCTGTTAACTGAAGTCAAGAAAGAGTTTACTTAAGAAGCTCACCGGTCTTTTTTAAGGCCATTGAACATTGAACTGCCTTGCCAACAAATATATTAGAACTTACCAAAGTTGACAGAAAACAGCCTTTAGGGGTCACAAAAATTTTAAGCATGCCAAAAGTCGCAGGAGGTTGAATCGGAAGAAAAACTTCAAGTGTATCTAATAAATACAATTTTACTTAGGCGTCACGAAACTGACGCAGAAAATTTATCGAGATTCGAACAGCAGCGTCAAAATCGACAAATAAAGAATCTATTGAGTGAGAGATCAGCTTTTCATTGTACCTTTACAGCAATCTCTGAAATCTTTAAAGATCCTAATTCAGATTTATAAATAAGTAGAAAATGTATTTGTGTATTTGTGGCAAAAAAAATGTAGGGTTTAAGGTCCAGGACTTTGTTGCTCTGGTAATAAAGTTGTGAGATAAGAGAAAAAAAGATTTTTTTTAACATACATTTTTTGTGAGTTTAAAATCTTAACATCTTTAAAAAATAGCCCTTTTCGTCAATTATACGGGAGAAACTGAAAATCAACCGCTTCTTATGGCCAACGATTATTTTATGGCATAAGGCACGCACGGTACTTTTCAGCATACTTATAATTTTTTAATTCTTACAGCTTATTATTTGACCAAGTAAATTGTATGCATTGCGAACAAATATGTTTTTAATATAAGAAGATTCTTGTTCTGAGAAGTGTCAGGAATAAATGTAAAATTTTTTAACTGAAAACGTTTCACGTTACATGTCAACACACTACGGTGTTATATTTAGTAAATTTCGGACGAAGCCGAGATGGGGGGCTGCTAGTTAACCATACAGATTACTTTCAATGTATGTTTCAACACTGATTTAATTCATAAAATTTTAAGAACATCAAATTTTTTCAAATAATATGTTTATATAGATGTATTCAATTTTNTAGGGTTTAAGGTCCAGGACTTTGTTGCTCTGGTAATAAAGTTGTGAGATAAGAGAAAAAAAGATTTTTTTTAACATACATTTTTTGTGAGTTTAAAATCTTTAAAAAATTAACAGCTTTAAAAAATAGCCCTTTTCGTGAATTATACGGGAAAAAGTGCAAATCAATGGCCTTTTAAGACCAACGATTATTTTATGATATAAGGAACGTACGGTACTTTTCAGCATAATTTTTTTTTTTCACGTTTTACAGCGTTTTACTTGACCAAATAAATTGTATGCATTCCGAACAAATATGTTTTTAATAAGAAGATTTTGGTTCTGAGAAGTGTCAAACTATATGTAAAATTTATAACTGAAAACGTTTCACATTACATGTCAACACACTACGGTGTTTTATTTAGTAAGTCTCGGGCGAATCCGAGATGGGGGGCCGCTATTTAGTAACTAAAGTTGAATAAATGTTGTTTTTCAGTCAGCAAGTGAATCATTATTTATTTAGGATTTAAATAAATGAGTTATTTATGTACAATTTGTAATTCAAGAATGAAAGAAAAACTTTTGCAAAAAATGTTTATTCCATTAAGTGAAAACTTATAAATGTTTAGTATTCAACTTGCTTGATCATCATTATTTTTTTTGAAAGTAATAAACATCCTTTGTGAATTTATTTGTTTTTTTTTAAATTTAAAAAAATATTTTTTATTGTTATTGAATGTTTTTTTACCTTGATATGTCAGTGACGTTATTGTGTGCTTGATTAATTCGAACAAAATAATTATAAAACAACGTAACGATTTATTTGGTATAAAAAAACCTAAATTTAAATCAATGCATTCATTTAAATGAACTAAAATTGTTTTTTTCTGAGCTGAAGATGCCTCCTTCGAGTTCGCTCATAATGATCCAATTTTTTTGTCCGTACCTGCATGAATATGTGGACATAAAAACTCATGCATGACTCAAAGGCATGGAAGCTGATCTCCTACGATACTTAGTTACAGGTAGATGAAGAGTCAAGGAGAATAACACAAGAAGTGACAGAGGTGTGAGTATCGATTCTAAAGTTTTGTATTGGAGTGAGGGTCGTAAACATCTGTCAGAAGGTTAGTGGGGGTAGCAACGTGGTGAATTTTGCCATCGGTGGTAAGTAGACCCGATCACCAAAAAAAGCCTGTCCGTTATTTATGACGTTAGTTACAACGGTGTTCTATGTTACAAGGAAACAAAAGTGAAATTTCGGCCTTAGAGAAAGCATTGCCAAACTATCTTGTATTGGATTATTGGGAAATGAAGGAAAAACCTAGTACGCAGTACAGTTACTCGATTAAAATTAAAAGAGCATCAATGTGATTGAGTAGAGCCCAGTTACATTTGGGGTTGAGTATACTATACGCAGGCAGTGCACTTGTTCTCGAAAAACACTTGTCGCAACTCAGTGACCGAGCACAGTACTTTCGGACAAGCAGGCAGGCAGGCAGGCGGCAACAACAGATCCTTAGGGAGTAGACCCGATTAATTCAAGTGTTTTTTGGGCTTAGTCGTGTCTCTCGGGATAAATTGGAAGGGGGCTCGCATATTCCGCACCAGTGCCCTAACGCACATATGTCGCCAGATTTAATCAGCCTCTACTTAGGGCTCCATACGCGCTACTTACTCTGCCCTTTTCCAATCGTCAGTAGCCGGCTTACTATATTCAGTTTCAGTAGCTGGTATATATATTTAGTACGGTGATGAGTAGTACACAAGCCCCTCGCTTCTTCCCTTCCCCGTGGCACAACAAGATAATACGATCACCACCTCTAATGGGGATAGCAACTCCTATGACGGGCTGAGAGTAGAGATCATCCAACTTCACGATTAAGCACCAAGCCTTAATGCTTGCGCCACCCCTCCCTCTTTCCCTCTCATTTCTTCACCTCGCTTTCATACTAAGCTCCTATAATGGGAGTGCACACAAATTAATCAGCGATAGCCGAGATTAGTGCACCTCTTGTCGATCCAGCCGCAAGCAAAGCCAAATTCTACTACCTTGACTATGGAATAATTTGGACGAAATTCAAACCATACTAAAACCTGTAGGAATGGACTCTTAGTTATTCTATCTAGTATTTTATCAAGATTTATTTCCAATCCCCTAATAAGTAATGTAGTAATTATTGTTATTATAATCAATGTTACATCGAAAGTTATTAGTACTTTTGTCATTTTGATAATTATTATTGCTGTAATTTTTTTTTTTTTTTTTTAATGATAGTCTTCATTGTAACCATAAATGATATAAATTTAGCGTTAGTAATAGTCTTTAACCAGAAGTAAAAAGTGTTATTGTGACGGAGGAGAAACAAAAAACACAACAAAAGTTTTTTTAATAAAAAATAGAAAAAAAGAGAAAAAAACACTCACCGATTGATTGATGAGACGGATGGTACGTTGTCTTGTGAGCAGATGCCTTCAGCAAGTAATCTGTCACGTATCTCCCAGGCAAACATCGTGGGATTATCCCTTTTGTAGTTTGCGATCGCATCAACTACTGGTGGTGTTGCTACTTTTGGCTTGGAGCCCCCTATTACTCCGGCCTTGAAACTACCAGTCTCATAATACCTGTTAACCAATCCAAATAAAAAGGCATCAATGTTGTTGTATTCACTAAATGCAGCTGAAAGGAGAGAATATATATGAGATGACGTCAATGAGAGTAATGTCTACCTATATGTTAACACAGCAAACACAGCCAAGTGCAGCTAAAAAAACTTTATGGGCAAGAATTTGCCAGTTAAGTCTGATAGTATTGGCTTTTTCATATTGCCACTATTAAATTTTGCTAGATGTTGGCGATTAATCGCATGGCACTAGCTTCCAGCGTCGATCACGAGTACAATAGTCAGTCACACGAATGGCTAAAGTTGTAAAGCGTTGATAGCACGATTACGTAGAACGAGTGTGATTTCGTTTTATGAGCTACCAGTATTGGCCACGAGTGTGACGTTATTCGATTATTTTAGTCATCTTAACTAAGTTCTGTACAAAATTTTTCGTTGTTTTGTGTAGATAAAACTTACCACTTAGTTTTTGTTAAGTGATTATCATTCTATTTTAATCGTGGCAAATATTCCCCATGCACTATGCAAAAAAATTTGAAAAAGAATTTATAAAACTTCATACCCAGGAAAATACAGGAAGAGATTGTATGCAAATGTATATAATACCTTGAGTTAATGATCTTTATGATGGTACTGGCACTACATTTAAGCATGTCGGATTCCACAAAAAATTTAAGACATTTGTTACTGGACTTAATGGTACAGAAAGTAGATTACAATTACAGAGAGATAATTCTTTATACGGGACACATCATTACATGTGGAAGAATGTTTAACGGCAATTCATTGTTTAACTTTATATAATTATATTCACAAGCAAGTGGGATCAAAAAATGATCCTCATACTATCATGGAAGATATATCAGGACCTGAAAAAGTTACACAAATGGGAACTTAAAGTAAATAATCTCTTATTATTGCACGTTACCCAATTTAGAACTTTCTTATATTGCACAAATACCTTTCATATGTTAATGTATTTTTCCTCCCTCAGGTGTTTTGATGGTTAGATGTGCTCTTGGGAGGAAAAATAGGGTTTTTCACTTAATACGCATCCAACCAGGGCCAGCACAGGGAGTCCCTTGAGCCCGGCGCTTGCGCTGGCAAAATGCACCATTAGGTACGAAAAAATATGCTTGTTTTAATGAGTTTTTTAAATTTATAGACAAACGAAATGACCTATTGCAATCAATTTTTTTTTTTTTGTAGATCTTCTTAAGAGCTACATTTTACATGCAAACCAATTTTTCGTACAATCCATACTTTTTGTGCTATTTCAAAAAACCAATTTTTTTTACTTTACGAATTTTTTAAACAATGTTTCAAAAAAACTTAGCTGTTCCTAAAGACTGATGTTTAAAAGTCTAGATTAATTCTATATGAAAATATTTCTTCCGAGAGTATCTGTGATTTCTCACTAAAACCGTAGATCTCTTACACTATCTTACAATTATCCTTACTTGCATATGTAACATAGACAATATACATCCAAAGAAAGGCTTAGGAAAAACAGCTTGTAGTACAACATTTTCTGAAATGGGGTAGTATTACATAACAGTGAATGTAGCTTATCTCAAAAATCACCTTATTCCCGAAGAAAAGATTTTGAAAAAATGAAGGTAGACAAAACAATAATCTAAAACTTTTTTTTTTCAAAATTGGGAAAAAAAAAAAGTGACAGAGGTGTGAGTATCGATTCTAAAGTTTTGTATTGGAGTGAGGGTCGTAAACATCTGTCAGAAGGTTAGTGGGGAATAAATAAATAACTTTTAATGAGTTTAAATAAATCTTTTATAGGCAAAATATTTGATTTATCAGAAAAAACGAAAAATCTTCAGAAGTAACTGTTCGCTGAATCGAAAACATTTATAGAATTTTGTTTTACTTTCTCATCTCGTGATCGTGTAATATGAAAGTTACTTAATCTTCTCACTTAAATATAAAGCAAAGTCGCTAAAACCGTTGTGATTGCTAACCGTGAAAACTACTCAACCGATTTTGCTGAAATTTTGCACTCTGATTCATGACACTTTCTAAATGGTTTTAGTATAGTTTTTGTCTGAAAAATTTGATAACAATAGCAATAAATAATCTCAAAGTTTTTCAAAAATACGCTGGCTTTTCACTTTAGTTCAGTAGGATCAGCTAGGTGGCGTTGACATAAAATCGAGGCTACCTGCAACATAATTAAATCAGTGTGGTTTTAATACGCCGGAGCCTCTTGAAGAAAGATGCAGTCGTCCTCCGGCAGTTCATCAAGCTGCATAGAGAATGTACATAATAGTCGTGCAGCTGGATATCCCGGTTACGGAGGACACTTTTCTAAAGAGTGAGGGTCCTAGGTCTACATTTGCCCTGAATCTTGACGAATGCCGTCAATAAAAAATTATTCTAACCGATGGCAGTTTCTGGCGTAATACCAGAAGACATATCTAGCCAGAGCACAACCTGCTCCACCTCTTCAGAGTTGTGTGGCAGTCCCATCAACCCACCTGGTGCAGTTAGAGAATTTTTGGCCACAAATGTAAGCCAGGGAAAACAGCTCTAAGGGGCACAAGCAGCCACAACGGCTACGTTCTTAGTGGTCGTGTCCCTAACGCGCATACCCACATGTTCCCGTCTAACGATGAGCGGTTGGTTATCCAGGAAATGACCTGAAGACGAGATATTCTTTGGTCAGCGGCGTACCTCCCTCCATCACAGTCTCCGTACATAGACTTCCAGGGTATGAGTCAAGCTACCCGTAGCCAGCTCTTTATCGTCAGGAATAATAATAAGGAATAGCTGGAAGTTTTACTACTGGCGCTTTTTAGGGCCATTATAAGTATTTACGTTCCCTACTTAACCATCAATTTCATCGGTTCTTTTTAGATGCCACTTAAGTGTAAGCTACCTTGCCAACAAATACATTTTTACTACCATTTCCGGAAGCGATTCGTCGACTAAAAGACTATATTAACTAAAGACAGCCACTATCAAACCAAGTCAGCCATTCACTGGCAGTCGTCACCTGCGGAGTTGGTCTTCGCAAGGCTGAAAACCCGGTGATTGACGACTCTATACTACCATCTCGACTCTAAGCATTCAACCAGGAATTACCAATCCTCTCCAAGGTCTACGCTGGGAGAACCTAACAGTTATAAAGGAAAATAAAACTTGCGCCAACGGGACAGCCTCCACTGGACAAGTATCACTAACCAATTTCCCCATCTAAGATCACCAAAACAACTGAATCTGCAAATTAAAAAAGTGCTTTAGAAACTAACGTCTTCGACGTTACCAGGAGACGTCGGGAAAGATCTTTACAACTAGCTCCAAAGCTTCAGACTTTGTAATTTTTCTCCCGATTTGTCTAGGGCTTCAACAGCAGACCAGAGAATATCATTCTGAGGTATCAGGCAGTCACAATTGCTGTTAACTGAAGTCAAGAAAGAGTTTACTTAAGAAGCTCACCGGTCTTTTTTAAGGCCATTGAACATTGAACTGCCTTGCCAACAAATATATTAGAACTTACCAAAGTTGACAGAAAACAGCCTTTAGGGGTCACAAAAATTTTAAGCATGCCAAAAGTCGCAGGAGGTTGAATCGGAAGAAAAACTTCAAGTGTATCTAATAAATACAATTTTACTTAGGCGTCACGAAACTGACGCAGAAAATTTATCGAGATTCGAACAGCAGCGTCAAAATCGACAAATAAAGAATCTATTGAGTGAGAGATCAGCTTTTCATTGTACCTTTACAGCAATCTCTGAAATCTTTAAAGATCCTAATTCAGATTTATAAATAAGTAGAAAATGTATTTGTGTATTTGTGGCAAAAAAAATGTAGGGTTTAAGGTCCAGGACTTTGTTGCTCTGGTAATAAAGTTGTGAGATAAGAGAAAAAAAGATTTTTTTTAACATACATTTTTTGTGAGTTTAAAATCTTTAAAAAATTAACAGCTTTAAAAAATAGCCCTTTTCGTGAATTATACGGGAAAAAGTGCAAATCAATGGCCTTTTAAGACCAACGATTATTTTATGATATAAGGAAC